GCCCCGCGCGCAACCCCCGCAGCCCCGCGCTCCACGCTCCGCTCCGCGCGCAGTCCCCGCAGCCCCGCTCCGCTCCCCGCCCCGCTTAGCCCCGCTCCGCTTAGCCCCACTTCGCGCTCCGCTCCCCGCGCAGCCTGCGCGGCTCCGCCGGGCCCCGCGTGCCATCTAGCGGCCGCCGACCCCGTTTGGAGGGGGGGTTCGTTGGATGGTTCCCTTTTTTTCTTTCATTCCCTTTCCTCCCCTTCTATTCCCCATAATTCAGGAGTAATCCGGGGCGCTGCACTTCAGGCAGGTGCGGGGCAGAGCGCGGCGGGAAAGACGGCCAGGAAGGACAGTCGCGTCCGGGCACCACGGGGCAGGATGGGGAGGGCAAAGCTGGACCCGTCCTGGCAAGCGAGGATGTCCCAGGAGGGCATTTTGCAGCAAGGGGTGACAGGTGAAACGAGCACCCCCGGCTGGCACCTGTGGGGTCCCTGCTCTCCTTTGGGATCCCGGGGAGCAGGGCGGCCCCTGTGCAAAGCGGGGAGAAGAGGGGGGGTCTGCGGGTCAGGCCAGGCCCTGGGCAGCACCCAGCTCTGGTGGCACCAGCTTGGGGCTTCCTGCCACAGTGACCTGTTTTATTTCCCTTGTGGAATGTCCTGCTTGCTGTCACAAGGATCCKGCCATGAGGAACCGTTGTCCTGGTGCCTCTCATTCCCGGAATAAAAAGGGATTTGCCCACCAATTGCATCCGCCTTGAGCCACCAAGCTGCCCTGTGCCCCRTGGCCGGACTGCTGCACACCCCAAAAAGGGCCCGTGCTGGCCCAGCTGGCCACCTCACCGAGCCTGGCACCACAAAAAGCCTCCGGTGTCCTCTGGGAAAGGAGGCCGCCTTCGGATGAGCCAAATTCCCGCATTTTCCCATCAGGCCGATGAGCACAAGATGCTGTATTATGGCTGCTGTGATAGCACAGCTCCAAATCCACAAGGATCCCGGACTCTGTGTCCATCTCCCCGGCATAAATCAGGGGTGACTTAAGGCAGCCAAGCTCCAGGTGGCACCGGCTGCCACAGCACCCGGCGCAGGCTGGGAATTGTCCATGAAGCAGCACTTTCCCCCTCGCTGTGAAACAGCACATTTTGCCAAAGAGAAGCAGGAAGGATAAGCAAGTTATTCCAGGGAGATCATGAATACCGAAGGATTTGTGCTCAGATTTTTTTTCACGGGCAGCAGGGAACCAGAGTCACCRCCGCAGCAGGTCTGAGTGAGGGAGGCCTGGATGTAGCTGGATGGACGGCTATTTCCTTCAGCCCCTGCTTTTAGCTCCGTCAGACAACGGGAATCTGGAAAASTTCCTAATGGGCACAAATGTCCAACAGGGAGTGCTTAACGGAGCAGCCAAATTGCTGCAACCCGCGTGCCAGCAGCCGGGATGAGGAGCTGCCCGCGTCCCCCGCCGGTGCCACCACCGGCACTGGGGCCGTGCCGCTCGCTCCGGCGCGGCCGGCCAGCAGGAACACCGGAATCAATCCCGTCTTGGCAGTGCCCGTTTAACAGGCCCGTGTTGTGGCTCCAGGCAGCACATCAAGTGGCAGCTGTCCATCAGGGCATTAATAACCCCGTAAGAGCCCCATTAGCGAGGCGCAGCACCCCACGGAGGCAGCGATGAGCCTCCTTAGGGAGGAGGAGAAGGAAGAGGAGGAGGAGGAAGGGCATGTCCCACGGGAGCAGGAACAGACAGAGGCTGCTTCCAACTGCTGCAGTGTCACTATTGTCCTGCTCCACCTTCGTCATCCTCTGGGAGCATCAGTGGCGCCGAAGGGGGCACAAAACAGCGTCCCCCTGCTCTGGGTAAGAGGGAATGACCCTTGCGCCCAGCACCCTGCCCGGGCAGAGCTGGTGTGGGTCGACCCAATAGGTGCAGGTACAAAAGAAGCCAGTTTTCCTCCCAAGCTCAAGCTCCTGCCTGACCTCRGGATGCTCCTAGGGAGGGAGCCTCTTCTAAAAGCCCTGTGCCAGCCCAGGATGCATCCTCAGTGCCCGCCCGGGGCCACAACGCTGCCCGTGTCTCACCTGGGAGCCTGCTCCAGTCCAGGGCTTCTTCCTGGGTCTTCATGGAAAAATAACCACCGCAGCAGAGAGAATCGCAGTGCGGCGCCACGCTGCAACAAGCTCCTTTCTCAAGTTCTCCCCGCGCACTGCATTGCCCCTTGGATAGGAAATCCCATTTGATTGCAGGAGCTGCAGCGCCCAAGACCACTTAGTCACAGAAACTTCTTCATCCCTCTGAAGCGACATCGTCCTGCCCTTGATGGAAACAGGGGCCTTCTTTCGAYAGGAAACTCTCCTCCCTTGATCCCAAGCTCAGCCCCAGTTCCTGCCATTCTGCCTCCATCCATCTCTGTCGCAACAAGGCACCGAGGCCGGTACTGCCCTGCCCATGCCAGCGAGGGCCCCGTCTGCCCCCGGTGTTCCAGGAAGCAGCAAAATATTCCCAGATTTGCCCACCCATCAGCATCCAGAGCGGGCAGCAAGTAAAGAGACGGGGCAAGTGAGGGGATCCTAAAGGCACCTTTATATCCCAGGTCCATCGGGGAGTGCAGGAGCCAAATATCCAGAGGCCAGGTCCATTGGGGATCCCAGGGGACAGAGGAAGGCCAAGGAGCTGCCCTGGAGGTGACACTTCAGCAAACTGCTGCCTTTACAAGCCTGTTGGCACCGTGAGCCCTCCGCTTCCATTAGCTGCTAATTAGCTTATGGCAGAGGAAAATAACAGAGGTGAGGATGAGGCTCCCMATAGGATGAGCGGAAGGGATGCTGGGTCTTCCTTTTTCTTTCATTTGGGGTGAAAGGAAGAGAGAAATGGGTGCATTTTTTATATAATGTTAATTAAAAACAGCAATGGCCCTGTTTTCACATGGAAAAAGGCAAAAGGTAGAAAGGGAGAAGAAAGGCAGACTCGTATGTTTGGCRGAAAGGTTTCCCGGCTGCCCTGCTGCAAGGAGACACACACAGAGGAAACAAGAGCAGCAATTAAAAATTAAAGAGAGCAATGTAGAGCAAATGAGTGTGATGCTCCTGGACGGTGCTCCTATCCTCCCAACTTATTCGGATTCACAAAGCAACAGTCTGAAAGCCCCTGGCTATGGGCTGAGTTTGTGCAATTAGACCATTACAAAAATAAACCTCTGAAACCCTCAGACATTTAAACCTGATAGTCTGTATAAAGAAAAATGTTCGCTTTTCATGTACAATGAGGGGAAATCATTTTAGATTTTTATTGTTATTATTTTAGGAGGGAATAAGCATATTTCAGGCCAGTCAAGAGTGAAATTGAGTTTAACAACAAAGCGGTTTCTATTAGTGCAAGCCCAGAAAAAACATGGATGAATAGAAAATGCACAGAGACAGAGAAATGTGTCAGACAGTGGTGGAATTAAGAATTAAGAGTGACTTTGCTTTGCTGCTGCTAATGTAAGCACATCATGATCCATCTCTCTGCAAATGTGCTCCCTTCCCATATAAATATTGCAAGGCAGAGAAGAGCAGGATGACACCTGGTACCYGCCGGGCAGGAGGGGACAAGGTTGAGGGGACCAAAGACTCTTAATTCAGGGGTTCCGATGGGTTTCCCCAGTAGTGGGAGCCCCTCTCACGTCCCACCTTCAGAAAACAGTATTTTCTGGTGATGTATAAAGGAAACCCGAGACCTCAGTGTGGACAGCCAGTGCCTTTGGGTATCAGCATCTTCCAGCAGCCCCTGGGTATCTCCCAGCTCCCATCCACAATGGCTGATGCCAGGCAAAGCGCCCCATTCCGTGCAGGATGCTGGCACGGAGCCATCAGGGCATCCTCACTTCTCATTATGTCTTGCTCGCCCCTGCCAAGCACCTAGGTGGTTAAGTTAAAACCCCAAAGTTTGAATAGTCTAAAGCATTAGATCTTGAAGCAATTACCCTGCCCTACATCTTTATTGGCTTTAAAGATTAATTTCTCCCCTCCACCAAGGCAGCTCCACTTGTTTCTCCTCAGTGGCCTTCACAATTGGAATATGGAGACAGATAATCATTGATCACACTGTGCATTGTTAGATGATTTTTGGTGTCTTTATTTTTTTCTCTCAGTCTGTTGTGCTTTCTCTATAGAGAAGCCTGTGAATGGGAGCTGCAGCAAGAGCCGGAGCAGATGTCATGAGCTGCTGTGTTACGAGAGGGCAAAACTCCCTTTAAAGCCAGTCCTGTTTCCATTTGAAACTAAAATTCCTTTGGCCATGGGGGAAAAGCCACCCGGGACCAGGCAGTTCCTTGGGGCTCGTGGTTTTCCTTCTTTACCCTTTACATTTATTTAGGTGCAAGGGAGGAACAGGCTCCTGGCAGAGCATGTGTCTCCACATTTACCCCCATCAAAGCTGTCCAGGAGCTCTTCCTTTCTGCAGTTCCAAATCCAAGAGGAGAGAAGCAGCGTTACCAAACTGAGGTGTGATGGGGACTGCACGCAGCATTTGTGAAGATTCATAAATCTCCCTCATCATAAGTAAATAATCTGTCTTCTCTGCTTGCTCAGAGGAGAGAGCATCCCCCCCTCTACGCACCTGCAACAAGTCACTTGCAATTACCGCTTTGTCTCCCAAAAAACAGCAGATAATTCAAACAAGCTC